AGCATGGATTTCCCAGACCACAGCAAGAACCTGCTGCGGAGCCTGCGGGATCAGCAACACGATGGCTTCCTTTGCGACTGCACGGTGCTGGTGGGCAACACCCAGTTCGTGGCCCATCGAGCCGTGCTCGCCTCGTGCAGTGCCTTCTTCCACATGTTCTACAAGGAAGGGCTGGACAAGGGGGACTTGGTGTGCATCAACAATGAGATCGTCACTGCCCCGGCGTTTGGTCTGCTCCTGGAATTCATGTACCAAGGCGGCCTCTCCTTCAATGACACTCCGGTGGAGGACGTCCTGGCTGCTGCCAGCTACCTGCACATGAACGACATTGTGAAGGTGTGCAAGAAGAAACTGCAGGCCCGGGCTCTGGCTGAAGCGGACAGTACTAAGAAGGAGGAGGACTCCCCGGCCAGTTCAGAACTTGTACCCAGCACCTCCAAGTGCCAGCCGCTGGCCCCTGCGGCACAGTCGTTGCCCCCACCACCCCCTCAGCCTTGCGAAGCACAGAAGAAAAGCACTGAGGAGTGGAAGGGAGTGGAGAAAGTTGGTTCTGATGAGCTGCTGGCCTCCACGCTGGATGTCGCGGACACCACCCAGCCCGGCATGGAAGGTGATTCCCCACAAGCCCTTCCCCCAACCAGACCCCTCCCACCAGCCATCATTGACATCTCCCTCTCCAGCCCCAGCAGTTCCACCGAAACCATCTCACACAGCTGTTTTCCTCTGGGGAACATTGCTGAGGGGCCTTCCAGTGTGGACACTGCTCCGGCGAAGTACGTGGAACAGCGGGAAGGCAGCGTCAGTGGATTTTGCCAAAAGGAGCCAAACAGGCCCTCCATCAAAGTCAAAATGGAAGCCATTGTGATCTCCGATGAGGAGCCAGACACAGTCGAGCAGCTGGAGGGGCAGAACCCAGAGGAGAGGCTGGAGAGTGTCTTTCAGCGGCCCACTGTGGAGGCAGGGTCAGCTGGAGGCTGCAGCCGCCATCTGGACAACTTTCCAGAGCCTGGTGGGCTAGAGGAAGTATCTTCAGACGGTACCTTCCTGTCTCAGGAGCCCATGCCCTATCATATGATCCCTGTGCCCAGCGGGCAAAGTTTCTCCAACATGGCGATTCCACCTCTGCACGAGCAGATGTATCTACAGGACTATGAGGTTCACCCTAACTTTGGCATCTTCACAGAGGACATGCCCACTTGTAAGACATGCGGAAAGACCTTCTCGTGCTCCTACACGCTCCGGCGCCATGCCACGGTCCACACACGGGAGCGCCCCTACGAATGCCGCTACTGCATGCGCAGCTACACCCAGTCCGGAGACCTCTACCGGCACATCCGGAAGGCACACAACGCAGACCTGGCAGCCAAACGTTGCAAACAGGATGTGGAGAATCCCTCGTAGGGTGCCCACACCTGGGCCACAGTCTGAGGCTCATCAGCTCAGTTGCTGCCCAACACGGAAGGCCAAATTTTTCCTCCTTTTGGAACTTAGTGCAAAAAGCCACAGTGTCTGTAGCCAAGTGACAAAGCCACTGACTGTTCCACATTGTTCTTGGTTCAGTCTCACCCACGCAATCCCTCAGTGTTCCTTCATCTTTTGCCTCGAGGATTTGGTGTTGTATTTTCACAGGGTAGTTCTTGGTCAACAGATCTGGATTTTGGATACTGCACACAGTTTGGAAGAAGCCACACAATGTGACCTCTTAGTATCTTGGGAAGATTTTTTTTTTTCTCTGTCTATTTATGTACAAACGGTCGTGGCTTCAGGGAACATGAGCCTCGGAGAGGAATGAGATCTCTTGGTTCCCCAGCCAAGGGATCCTGGCTTGGTTTTTGCTCAAAAAGAGGGAGTGGAAGCTTTTAAATCATGGCAGTTTATGGAGATTGTAATTTCACTTAAAAACCCTCTCTAGCGTTCCCCAGCCAAGGGATCCTGGCTTGGTTTTTGCTCAAAAAGAGGGAGTGGAAGCTTTTAAATCATGGCAGTTTATGGAGATTGTAATTTCACTTAAAAACCCTCTCTAGCCCAAAAGTCTGTGCAGACTAGGTCACAAGGTGGGAACAGCAACCCTAGAGATGTGGAGGCCCAGAAAACCAGGAAAATTCAAGGGGGAGTGTGTCATTGTTGTCTCCACCCCGTTATTTCTCTAGGACCTTTTTTCTGTTTCTCCAACAGAAGAATTGAGAAATATTGGGGGACTCTTCTATGAAATATTTTCTCTTTTAGAATGAGTAAAATGTTTCTTAAGGGTAAAGGTTTTTGTACTCAAAATGTATAGGATGAAAAAGTACAAGGGTTTACATTTTTCCAATAGGAAAGTTTGGGAAGCACTGATAAAAAAAACCCCACCTCTTACGAAATGTGTTCTGAGGGAAGAAAAACCTTTTCTTACAAAGCATTGCACTCATCCCAAATGTATAGGATGAAAATATCTTGAGAAGTTTCTCAAGAGTTCAGTGTTTTGAAGTTTAACTTAATAGCCAAACATGCTGGGAGTCCTACTTCTTAGGGCTGCATAAAAGTGTCTCTGTTCAGGTAATACCCTTTCTTTTGTTTACCGCAGAATTTTTTTTTAACCTTCAACATTGATTTTTCCCCCTACCTCTCAGGTGGTAAAAATTAAAGATACCTGGGTTTCACAGCTCTGAGCACAACTCTGAGGAAGCCCCTTGCCTGGCCCAGGGACATCTTCCCCTCCTGTAGTGTGGGTGGACAACTCTGGCTAAAGAGTGCAGGGCGTTCCTTCTTGGCATATGCTGTGTGGGAGGGACTGGTCTGTTGAGGTCATTCTAATATTCCCATTTTACAAATGGAGGCTGTGAGACAGGGGCTTGGTGCTCCACTGTATGGGTGGCATAGCTGGGATCTGAACTCTTTTTTTTTTTTTCTCAGCTCAAACCATCTTCCGCAAAAAAAAGCATCCCTTTTGCTTTTTCCTTCTTCTCTTCGAAGCTGTTGGCCTCGCTGGGGGTTACCTGTTAAGGCAGCAGCTGCCAGACCTGAAAATTTGCCACTGCACAGAACCTCAATAGTACCCCTTAAGGCCTCATTCTCGAAGTATTTCCCCATCAACCGGCTGAGGAGACTATTTTCTTCCTTCTCTGTACGAATTTGTCTCCCCAGCTCCT